TCTATCTATCTATCTATCTATCTATCTATCTATCTATCTATCTATCTATCTATCTATCTATCTATCTATCTATCTATCTATCTATCTATCTATCTATCTATCTATCTGTCTGTCTGTCTGTCTGTCTGTCTGTCTGTCTGTCTGTCTGTCTGTCTGTCTATCTACTTATCTTATCTTATCTTATCTTATCTTATCTTATCTTATCTTATCTTATCTATGTTCATGCGTCGAGATTTGTCTTTTTTCTAACAGACTTCTTGAGTCTAGTCTTTTGGATAAAAGATGAAACATTTCAATAAAAAGAAAACTTTCAGAGGACCTGACATAACCTTGTTAGAGCTTTCTACCTGGATGTCCTGAGCATGAATCAAGACGATGTGGAATCTGAACCTCAAGTGTCCAAAAACACCCAATTTAAAATTTAGAACCTGGTAAAAACCAGAACATGTATTTATTATTAACCTTTATTTAAACAGGCAGATCCCACAGAGATTTTGCAAGGGAATTCTGCGCCTGAAGGCAGACAAAACAGGCATGTTTTGAACAGTGGGAGGACACATGAGAACCTGGGGAAAACCCACCAAAGCACGAGGAGCACATGTAACTCCGTACAGCAAGACCTCAGGTCCAAAGCAGGGATCAAACCCTGGAGCTTCTTGTCGTGAGGCAACAGTGCTAACCACTGTCGTGCTGCCCAAATCTTTATTGTGTCCTGATATATATGTCTCAAAAAATCAAAGATGGTGTACTTTTATTATGACTGTGTACCTGTAGCAAAATGTACACTTTCCAGAAAGAACATGTATTAATATAGATGTAAACTTTGATGGCTGCTGTTTTTAAGGGAAAGGTCTGGAAATAGCTCATTTAGCTCATTAAGCTTAAGTGCATCATTTTATACCAAAGCGTATAAAACGATGCATGTGACAGTAGCTGAATGATGAATGTTTTAGTGCAGGGAAACTGAAGTTGTGTTGCACACAGTTTGGTATTAGCCCTCACTGTGTACGGTTGTCCAGAGGTATTTCATCTGCAACCAAGTTTGTCAAAAAGAGTCTGAATTTGCTACTTAATGCTATTTTTTTTTTTTTTTTTTAGATATTTGACTTTTGAGTTCAGCTATTTAGATGTTTTAGCTACATTTTTAAACTTTCAAAGACAAAAATGGGTTATTGGTGCCTAAATCCCATCTTTGTCTGAATAATCATATTTGTTTCATAGCAGCATTTTAAAAATAATATTTGTTTCTCTCTTTAACATGAATGGTAGGTGTGAGTTGTCTTCTTGACAGGTTTCAGCAGGCCAAGGATGATGACTATACTGTCGCTGAGTAATTAGTTTCAGTTTCTAACAGTTACCAGATTGTCGTTTCATCAGAGGTGAAGCAGGACTGATGTTAGACAGCATGGATGAGGTGTGTGGGGGGACTCTTTGATTGCCTTATCTCTGAGTCAGGAATGACCGCTGTGACACATTTGCATATTTAATTTAGGGAGGGTTAAATGTTCGTGTTAGTGTGTGTGAAAGCTGCAGAGAAACAGACACTGAATCAAATGTAATTGTTTTCCTTCAGTGTTGTGTCAAGTGGACCTCAGCGATGCCAAGGACTTTTCTCTCAGCATTAATAAAGTCAGGTTGAACTCTGACTGCCTGATGAAGATGAACTCTGTGACGATGAGGAACATTACAGTCACGTCAAGCAGTAAACTGATTTTCACAAACTGTTTTCCTGAAGATGTTGAAGTTACAGCTAAACGCACAGTAGGTAAGTGGAGATTTGTGTGTTGAGCTAGAAAAAACAGGCCTTCTCCAGGAAAGAAGGTGGTGAATTTATAGTAATGCCTGGTGTAGGTGTGGACATTAAACATCCAGAGGCCGCCAAGCAGGTTCAGCATATTCAGAGTATCTTTAGGCAATCTGTTTTAAATAAGCCTAATAATAATCTGACTGTTTATCAGTGAGATTGATTGGTTAATCCAAATTTTCTTTTAGAGGTTGTGTTTGCAATAAATGAACAGAAGCAGAAAAAAAAACACTAAGAAAATGTAAGTCTGATCTGATTTGTGTATAGATTTTAGGCTACATTAGTTTTTTTTATTTTAGATGTTTTTCTTTAAATAGAAACATAACACAAAATATTTTCCTTCTGTCTTTAATTTTTCATTTTCCACAGAATTTTATTGAGAAAGTTGTGCTTTTTCCCATATGTGTTTTCCCCTCTCAAAAAGGTTCCCAGCCTCAGTTGCCATGGTAACACATCTAGGACTACCAAAACCCTAACCCTGAGTCTAAATTTACTTTACTAATACTGAAATTTAGCTTTGTAGAAAAGACCAAGCTTGTTGTATGTAAACCAGAAAGTTTAAGTAATGGGTGACTAACCTTTGGTTTTGGTTTTGGTATTTATGTTTTTGATCTGTTTTAACAAAGATTATGTGGAATCTAAAGGTGTTAAACACCATAATATTAACTCTGATGAAATAAGTTTATGAAATCTGTATCAGAAAACTTTAATTTGTGTGCAATCTCACACACACAGAGTAGTCCTTGGTCACTGAAGGCTCCAGTACTTGTACCAAATTTTTGCAGTTTAACTACATCAACTAAAAACAAAAGTTAAATAAAGTATAGGTACTCTGTGTTTTGTAGGAAACTATGAACTGCATGTTATGACTGGCTATAGGTGCTAGTTGGAGTATAGGGATGAATGATAAATACAGTAAAATACAGTATGTGTAGATGATGTGGAAAAATGGGCAGAAAGTACATGATGTAAAACATAAAGTCACTTACATTAAGGTTGTTTTTTATGCAGAATGAAGCAGTGGTGAAGAAACGACCCAAGTTAACCCAAAAGTACAATGTATAAAACTTACAGTATTTACCAGTAGACAGTTGTGCTGCACTTGCTGGAACTTGTAAAGCAGACTGGTTCAGAAGGTAAATGAATTATGGGACAAACTGGTTTTGCTTTTGATCGAAGCACTCTGACGCACTTACTTGAAGGCTATAGCTCAAAGCGACAAAGTTTATATATATATAAACTCTGATGTGTATATATATATATATATATATATATATATATATATATATATATATAT